AACAGGCCCTAATAGGCCAGTTTTACTGTACCTATACGAACACAGATATTTGTGGCTATATAGTTCCACTTACAGTTCCTAAAATAAATGTATGCATCTTTATATTACTGAAACATTCTTGAACACTTTACAAAATACACAGACCATTCACATCAAATGTAAGTGTAATATCCCTGAAATAAAATGTCACATCAATTTTATTTTATTCCTACCAATTTATATAATAGAAAAGCCTAACAAGGTTATGGAATTTCAAGAAGCCTATTGCCCCTTGAAATTTTGGATTAGTCTGCCTTGATCTCTGTGGCCTTTACAACAAATCCAGTCTTTTATACAAACCACACTAATTAATCAACTAACTGGCTCTGACCCCTTATCAGGCCATATAAACGGCTTCATCATGCATTAGTCATTTGCCTCAAGAAGGCAAGGCCCCTTCTTTGTTAAAAATCAACACTGGGCGACAAGTGAAATCAGTGAACTGCTAATACTATGCATACTATGCTGAAGACAAAAAGGTGCAGTTTACCTTAAAGTGTATCTCAAGGCAAAACTTTTTTTTTCATTTAGGATAGAGTAGGGAATGGTTAAATCTCCTGTCTAGTTCTTTTTTGACATCTGTCCTATACAAGAGATTTTCCCTTACCAGACAACCAGAGAAAGCTGTTAGAATGTATGCTGCTGTTTTAGACGACCATAGCAGTCATGCATTTGCCAGAGTTTTTCAGTATTCTTTGGTAAAGGAAGAAGTACTAGTGTACAGTACTCATTGCAACATGCACTGATTAAGTAGAACCTGTACCTAGCATTGCTCCCACTAACAGCTCAACCCACACCCTGTGCTGGCTCATTTCAGGCATCAATGATACAGAGGAGATTTCTATGCTTGCACTTATTGAGTGCAATCAAACACCTATTGAGAAAGAGAAGGTCCCTGCACCATAAGACGCACATTCTGTGCTTGAAGATTTTTACTATAGAGCAACATTGGATGATAATGCTAAAATCATGCTTCTACTGGGAAGAGACATCCCAATAGTCCACAAGGTTCAAGGACAGTGGACAGGTAATCCTCATAATGATCCCTACACTCAAAAAAAGGAACTAGGTTGGGTGGGTATCAGCGATCCTCGCTCCAGTAAGAAGCAGATTTCAGACAGTGTGCACACTTGTAAAACTTTTCTTAAGAGATTTCAAGATACCTTTCTCATATCTCAAAACTCATGCTACTAGAACTCACAGAAAATACCAATTCTGAAAACAACACTTCTCGTGAGCAATCAAGCCTACATCGAAGAATAATCTTACAGCAGCATCTGTGAAAAATCTCAAACTACTACAGACAGCAATACTGGACCTTCCGTAGGTGTCCAGGAATCTACTATTACCGAGATCCTGCACAATACTGATGTTCATCAGTTCATACATTGCGTAACTAGTGACTTTCAAATCACTATCTACTTCAGTAGATACTACAGAGTTGCTTACAGAGGACCAGCTGCAACCTCAGTTAGTCCTGTTATTGATGAAACTACACCTGACAACTGCAAGATGGTATTGTCTTTACACAGATTCATCCATCAAGTCACAGGCTGATACAGCTCACATCTCAAGCATGACATCAGGAACCTTGCTATCAGTGAATGGCCAATAAAGTTAATCAGAGCTGTCTACACCAGTCATTGTGAAAGAATGCCATTTACTTCGCAAGCTGGAAGCAGATAGACCTGGTAAGAGGTTCCTTCAACCAACTAGTGATACTATCATATTTACACCCATAAGGGACATTACATGCTTTGCCACCCTTGGAGAAGTGACCTGATGTCTTTATTGACTGTTCCAGCTGTGTCAAGTCCGAGATTCATCAGAGATTTCATCACATTTATGTGAACTTATGTATATATGTTTGCATGGATTTCTCTATTTCCTATGTTTTTCAGGTCCAGAGGACAAACCATGTACATGTTTGGACTCCCACCCGCTCTCTCCAGGTTGCTAGACCAGTGCCCACAGACTATTCTTCCCTTCACTCCTGCAGTCTAAGGAGAGCTGATGTCATCACATCTAATGCCAGGTCTCCTAGGCATGAACAAGCATTTACCCCTTGTAATGCGGGGGTAGTCACACCTCAAGGGTAGTTTTTTGGTTTGACTGGAGATGGGCTTGGAATGCGTTAATGTAAAACATTGCAGGCATAGCTATTCCCTACATAAAGACACTGGATTTACCTCCCCAAGATCTCTTTGGGCTCATATTTTTCATAAAACTCTTGAGAAGTCTGCCAGTCTGGTAATTCCTCCTCACGTGTCATCTTATATTATCTTTGAAAGCTGCTTCAGGGACCTACAAATGAATAAAAAGTGTGATTATTGCGGTAATATTTACTACCAAACATTTCAGATTCTCATTTCTTTAAATATACCTGCTTTTTTTCACATTTTCATTGCTTTATTCAGAACTTGTGGAGCATGTACCATTATGGGAATAAAAGCATGCCACACTACTGACAGAACCAGAACTGAAATAGGGCAGACTAAGATATGAATTTAACATACAACATTAGACCTAATGAAGTTAGAACACTATTTCCTGTGGTTAAGTTATCCCCCCTGCCCGCAAGGATCAGAATGATAAAAAAAAGTAGTACCTTTGCGGCCTTCCTATCAGATGTTTACTAAGAGCTTATTAGGTATATCTGTTACAAGGTTAGTATGTTAATCACTAATGCAATCAGTGAGTCAGCTATGGGAAGAACAAGCTTTTAGAAAAGTGGTGTTTTGGGGTCACATGCAACCCTATTACTCCTTCTTTATAGCTGGTTTAAGATTCTAAATATCTGAATGTGCCGAGCTACAACAACGAGCAATAAAAAAATAAAAATAATAATTTGTGACTCATAAACATATTCTTCATATTCTGTTGGTATATACTTTATGTATAGCTTTTTTTTTATAGAGGGGTTATGAGATTAATATTTCTACAGTTTACTGCATATTTACATATTTTTTTCTTATTTTATTCATCTATTATCTAGAACGTCAGATGCTCCTGATCCCTGATGAAGCCACGCTGGATGTAATGCGCATAGGGCGGAGCATCTGACGTCACGTTAATCATTACGACCAACGGCCATGGTCATTTGAAACCCCTGCATAAACTCCTAAGGCCCGGTTCACACCTGGGCGTTTTGTAGCGCGTTCCTACGCTCTGCAAAACGCTCAAACACCGAAATCCCATTATTTCCTATGGGTATGGTTCACACCTGGGCGTATTACAGGCCGTTTGAACGCGCTACAAAACGCCCAAAGAACTTCTTTGGGGCGTTTTTGTTGCGCATTTCCATTGGGATACAGCCAAGTAGCACCCGGAAATGCGCGTTTGTCGCGTGTTTTTTTACTGGGAATCGCGCGACAAACGCGCATATTCGATACGCCTAGGTGTGAACCCAACCTAAGAGAGATTCCATGCTGTGTTACCACTGCTTTTATGTGAGTAATTTTTCTTTTAATACATCATACTCTGTTTGGATGGTACGCGTTTGCTTTCTCTTTTTGGATAACACGATCCGGGTATTGACATCCTATACTAAGGAGGCCTACAGTTCGATGTAGATCGGATGTTATTGTTTCCCTACTGAAGAAATGATATAAAGATCTGTCTGCTGGTCTGATTACACCATTGGAGGACATCTGTGAGCGATTGGAGCTGAGGGCCCCCTCCCCTGGTTAAGAAGGGAATTGCCCAATTTGACCTTTCGTTGGGGTCAATCAATAAGGTGAGCACCCCTATATCTGGTGTGGTGTATGTGGTGCATTTGGTGAAGGAACAAGAAATATTCATCACTATTGCTGTTTATATATGAACATTTTCACATTTACAGACTTCACATTTGATTTATATTATTTATTCACTGACATTTGTTTGAGTTACAGATTCTTTTATTGGTTTTTTTTTTTGTATTTCTCATTGTTGTAGCTCAGCACATTCAGCTATTCATTTTTTCATGTATACACACTCACAGTGGGTGCACATTCCAGTACCTTGTAGCTGTTAGCTTGCTTATTGGTGCAGTTCATTTATATATATGTTTTATTTGTTTAAGATTCTAAAGCCACTCTGTGCTCAGATCACAAAAATAACATGCTAATACACCTATTTGTTTTTGTTGTCATTAGGATATCTTTTGTTAAGATGTGCAAAATATATTGAAGGTATTTATGTACACTACATAGTAGCGCAGTGCTACTATATTGGTGTTACTCGTATTAGTGAGTTGAATTTATCACAACATTTGCCTGCTGAAGAAAGTGTTAGGAGAGATGTATGGGGACCCCAATTGTTGACTTGTGTCTATAGTGCATAGCTCCTGGGCTGTCTTCCTATACGACTTGGTAGGTGTCAGAAACCACCTGCTACTGCGCATGTGCAGGGTCCAGTTTTCCGTACTGCGGGTAAGCAGGCACTTGCGCGCATGCGTGCCCCACGGAACAGCCACGCAAAAGCGTGCCAAACAGAGCACAGGAAGTGATGCTGTTTCCTGATGGATCAGCCTATTTAATGCCAGCCTACCTGACTCCAAGTTTCTGGATTGTCTTCAGCTTCCCCTGTGTTCCTTTTGTTTTGATTACCTTGCTGACTTTTGACCTGGATTGTCCTTGACCTTGTTAATTGCTGCCTGCCCCTGACCTCCTGCTTGCCTTCTGGACCGGCCTCTGTCTCCTGCCTTTGTACCTCGCTGCCTGACTGGATTTCATCCCTGGCTTGTTTGACCACGATCTTGGATCCTGCTTTGCACTCCGCTGCCAGCCTGGTGTTGACTACAGCTCAGCTTGATCCGGTGCCGGAACGCCAGCTTGCACGGTGTGATCACCACTGGCATCTGTGCCACTCGCTGCCCACTTAGACTCTGTTCCCAACTCCAGAGTCTTTGGGACACGAGGTACAAGGGAAGTCTCCTCACACATTCAGTCTCCTCCCAGGTACGTGACAGTAAGGAACTAACCTAGGACAAGTGTGCAGCCAGTAAAGTTTAGGGAAACCTAATATGTTAAAGGTTGGTGACTTACTAAGTAGTAAAGAAAGGATATGGATAACCCCAGATGCTGCACCTTCAAAACCAAATGCATAGTGTCCACACCCAGGTTTTTATCCTGACAGGTTTAAAGCCTTTGCACCATTTTCTCCACCTAGAGCAGCATTATAAATATACACATTTGTACACAGGGAAGGCACAAATCAGAAGCTTCTATCAGTGACTCACCGGTTTTTCTCAAAATGTTGTTTTCCTTTTGCTTCTCATTAGGTACAATTTCCTTGCAAGGTGCAGCACTTTAATAGCATGCATGGATTGCCAAAATTAATAATAGCGAATAACTAAAATGAATGTGTCCATTTTCTGCTCTGATAGATGACTAAGCTGTATGTTTATGCAGTTCTGTTTTACATATTACATAAGTCATTTCCTAAAAGGATGTTACATCATTCTTGTCTCTATGAGAATACACTGAAGGAAGGTTCTCTAATTGCTGCTCGCAGTAATGTGCATCACCATTATACAGTATCATCTGACTCGGTTAAAGCTAAACTGTGCCCATCTTTAAAACTTTCATGCAGGGCAGGGACATGGCCCCTAATACATTAACAACAAACATCACTGTATTATATTTTTGATTTAAATGGACAATGAAAAGGACTTCAACTGAGTTGTCTGTTCCTTTTTTGTGAGCTGTGGATAAATATTTAGGCCTTGGTGATAATATACTAGCATTGAACATGGAATTATACCTGAAAACTCTTCCTCTTTTATTGTGTTTTGGGGCACTTAAGTTGCGCTAATATCGTGCAACATAAAAATTTGCAACTGCCAACATTTTATTCTATAGGGTCTTGTCTTTCAGAAAATATATAATGTTTGGGAGTTTTAAGTAGTTGCCTAAAATGTGGATTATAACATATAAACAAAAAAAGAAAAAGGCCTCGGTCATGAAGGGGTTAAAGGAGAACTATGAGGCGAGTGCTTTTCACTCACCTCATAGTTCTAGCCGACCTGTGACAATGAGACTGTCACAGGTCGGCTCAGTAGATCAGGAGGAGAGCGAACACATACCGGGTTCGTTTGCCTCTCGATCCTGTTACGGCTCTTTGCCGTGACAGGGGGAGGGGCTGGATTCCCCTATCCCCGCTATGATCCGCCAGCGCTGACTGGCGGAACGGACGGGGAGGGGGTGGGTACAGCTAGCTCTGCCTCTAGATAGGCAGAGCCAGCTGTCACTCACGCAGCTGGGCGGATCCCGTCATCTACGCCGGGATCCGCTCCGGCTACGGCGTCTCAGTATACCGCGAGCTTAGGGTAACGGGAGGACGCTAGTTTGTGTCCTCCCGTTACCCTAAGGAGAACTATGGGGAAAACACTGACCCCATAGTTCTCCTTTAATGTCAGTATCATAGGCCTTTGAGCATCTATCATCCATCATAAGGTCAACAATCTGCTCTACTCCATCACACAGCCAGAGGCCACTCTTCCTAGTATGCTTTGTGAACTTCTTCAATTAGGTTCTATTGAACCTACTGGTAACCATGCAGCTTTCTTCTAACTCTTTGTGTCTCCAACTGCTATCTCATGAACACCAAAAAGCTGTTGGAAATGTGGGAAAGGGGAGGCATCTCTCATTTCCATTATCATATGCCACCCACCAATGTTTTCTCCCACTCTCTCCTGCCTTCTGCCATCATATTCCCTGTGCAATGCAGTGATTTGCTCCTATTGCCAACCAGGGGGTCTTACTAGATCCTGTCTCTCAGGGCATTTGCCAATGCCCCAAGTCTTTTACTGATTTCCTGGATATATGGAGATGATACATTCTATGCATTACACAGTTGTGAAACATTGCAATTCATTTACTTTTCTATTCATTATTTATTTTATTTCTAAGAAATGATAATACATTTTTGTTTCAGTTAAAACTATCATATGAGTCTTCGATTTGATCCAAAGTGGTCATCATGGTATCCCACCAGCCCCTTAGCATTTTAATCTGTGTGCCCAGAGGTGCCCGTGGTCTTTTAGAACTCTAGAAATGGCATACTGCCCTTCTCTCCCAGTCTGTGTGTCCCACTGCCCAGGGGATTAGAGGGACTGTTATAAAGAAAGATTTAGGTACTTGTACTGGTTCTTTGAAAAAGCATTGCTCTTTATTAACGAATACATAACTGGATCACATTGTGCTTTTTTTAATGCCTGGAGCTTAGCTTTAATAGAATGACATTTTGCATGACTGACACATTTCTGCTGCTTTCCATTCATGAAGCTCTAACACTTATTAGATGTATAAACAGTCCTGTTCTTTGTCCTGGGATACTATTAAAATGATGCAAAGTTTGGCTTACTTATGTGTGAAACATATTTGCTTACCTTTTTTAACTATGTAGATGACCGATAAACCTTCATTATATAAAAATAAACTATATAAATGAGAAATTCAAATGTATTTGCAATTATTATTGGACATGCTTACACATTTCTAGTAGTTCTATGCCAAAGAGAAATAGACCTTGTAGAGACCTTGTATTAGATTGAGGACAGTAAAAATAAAGCAACCCACAGCTCTTACATAATCTTCTAAATCTGTCTGGGAATAAAATATAGGGCACTTTGCTGTGAATATGTGGCCTTTCTATGGAGAACAAATAGAATGAAGGTTTATCTTCCCTTGTATGTAGCTGTTTGATTGTTAGCATAGTCAAGAAGACATAATGCAGTTCCAGAAGCAGTGAAATAACACAGACTTGCAGCTTAGAAGAAGCATCACGGGTCTGCAATGAGTCTGCATAGCTTGGAATAGGAATATAAAGGCAGCAGAGTCAGTATAATAAGACTTCTCTTACCTCTAATGAAGCTGGCCCCTCCAGTTCTCTCCTGACAGTATTCCCATGTAGACTAAGAGCAAGGATCCTAGAATCCTGCAAACACAGCCTGTCAGAGCGATCATCCCCTGAGCTTGTGTTCTGTACACTGCAGATCTAAGCAAGTGACTTGCCAAAAATACATTGCTATTCAGCCAGGAATACAAGCAGCCCAGCCAAGCCTCAACATGTGCTGTTACCACTTAGCAGACATGTACTTGTTATGTAGTCAGAGCAACATCTGACCTAAGGAAAGGTGAATGGCACTCTACATACTAGTAAACAAACCCTAAAACATGGAACTTACTGATTTTACAAGGCAATGGGTTCACTTGCCGTGTCTGCATTGCAGGATTGACCAGCACACTCTGTCCCTCTTACTAACAATGTCATCTCACTTTAATAGGGTGTTGTAATGGCTACATGTCAATGCCCAATATGGGGCTGGTAAATATGAGCAGGGAGTGCCACTGGGATCCTGGCACGGTATGAATGCTCAAGTAATCCCATGTATTGTGTGTTGTACTTTCAAGGAGGGAAAACCAGTCTAGAGGTATTTCAGTGTTACAGTTTTGTAATGCAAGAACATTTTATTTTACATAAAAATGTTCTTGCATTACAGAACTAGGGACGTTTTGATAAATGGCACCCACAGTGTTACATAAATAAATATACAAACAGGTTTATCTAGACACCTTAGGGCTAGTTCACCCCAAGTGCGGAGCAGGTGCAGGTGCAGAGCAGTTACAGAACGCATCAAAATTGCATCCAATGTATTCCAATTGTATTTTGGGCTCTATTTCACACCGGAGCGTTCAGTAACAGAGCACATGGAAAAACTGCAGCAAGCCCTATTGTTTCTGCTCTGGAATGCACAAAAACGCATGCAAATACATTAAAAACGCACGAAAACACCCTGGAACGCACTGAAAGGCCATTTTAGGCTAATAATAATTAAAAAAATGTTTTTGTTTTTTTAAACAGCCCGGAACGTGGCAAACACGCAGCAAAACACACTGGACTGCATGTGCAGAAACTCATGCAGATCTGGTCCGGATTTGGTGTGAACAAACCCTGACAGTGACTGAGACATTATACCATGCTAAGATATGTAATTTGCTATTCATTCTCAGTATGCTTTGTATCCTTTTCCCTGCTGCTTGATGTGAGGTAATCTCCATTTCTCAAGACTACATATCCCATCATGCATTGCTTCCAGCAAGCAATGATAGTGTTATATTGTTCAGATGTTGAGTTGTAGTTCAGAAGGCAGGCTCTGTGAGAGCTGTGACACTGAGAAGTGCACATTCACAGGGCTGAGTGTCAGTGCACTGAGGAAGTACATCCTATAGGCATCTTCAATAATTAAGTTTACAGATTTCTAGATCAATATGGTTATTAGAAGTGAAATGTATGTAAATTCAGTAAATAAATACAGATTTATTTTTAGACTTTGACCATAGATAACCTTTAAAGCTAAACACCAGACAGTGTGAAATGTAAAGGTCCTTAAATGAGTGCGGTTGTATTGTAATTGTATTTCTGTCCATCCATTCCAGAGATTGATACATCCTTGACAGGCAGCACAACTAGGCTGACTTGACTTTTCTCTGCAGCAGTTATGCAATACAACCAGGGGTGTATCTACCGCAAGGCAACTAGGCATGTGCCTAGGGCGGCACTTTCCAAGGGGGCGGCAGAAAATGCTGCCCCAAACTGATAAGGTGGACAGGTCTGGACTTGCCTTTGGGCATACTGGGCACTTGCCGAGGCTTGGTGGCACAGAATCAGGCAGCGGCGGCTGCCTAATGAGGCAAACTAGGCAGCCGCAAGGCCCTAAGAGTGGCTGGCTATGTAAAAAGCTGCCCGGAGGAGGGGAGGGCCCAGTGATTTGCGGTCTGGCAGGCTTTGTGCAGGAGGTGGAGGAGAAGAAGCGAGTGGCTCAGGGCTGGCCATCACATGTGATCTGATGGCGGGATGTCCCAGAAGCAGGCGGGGACTGCAATGTATCCTGTTGGTACTGATGGCACTTCGAGCTGCAGGTAAGAGGAGCAGAACATCTATGCAGGGAAAGGGAGTCTGCACAGTTCTCCTGAGACCCTACATGTCGTGAACAGGGTGGGTTGGGGCAAATTTAGATTGAGGGGGTGCCCGAGTTTAGTCTTGCCTAGGGCAGCACAAAACCAAAATACACAACTGAATACAACCTGGTCATCTCCCTGCCCTGGCCACTGACTGGATACTGAAGAATCAGCAGAAGACTGATGAGCTCAGTAGGCTGATTTCTCCTTCTATTAGCATGTTTGTTGTCGGTATATTTGCATGCAGCCCACTTGATTGGTTCCTAATACTGCCACTCCTTTTCCCAGGTCAGTGATACCAATTTACTTACACTAAGGGTTATTAAAAAATGCATTTCAAATTATATTAAAGTCAAAATGCTTTTAAGCTATTTCAAATGCTGAGTAAATCACAATGGATGCTGCTTGTTGATGTTTGCTGTAGAATCAGCTCGTCCCCTGAGTACTGGTCCTGATATCCTGTTTTAGGGTGGCTCATTTCCCTTGCAGGGTCCTATGGAGCCACCCTTGTGTGTGCTAGTAAGATGTGTGTATCTCCACCAACACACAGACACAGAAAGGCAAGACAAGACACTCTCTGCTCTGCTCTCCCCTCCTTCCCCTTTCCTCCCTTTTCCAAGCTAGTAGATAGATATCTCCTGGAGACTGCTCTGTCTGTTGTTATCTTGTAGTCATCAGGAAGTTCAGGGAAGATGAACTGAGAAAGTTGGAGCCAGCTGTTTGAAAAACATGATGACTGTAAAAATGTAAAAAAAAACACTTTGCTGAAGAAAAAAGGTTTGAGTGTGTAATACCAAGTCAATGATTTTGAAAACACAAGTGCCATACGTGATGTTATACAGTATGTGCTTGTAGTGTCGCTTTTAGAATCAGGAGGAATGGTTTCCATGTAAACAGTTCCATCCAAATTAGAAGCAAGCAATTTACAAAAGAGGTTCTGAGCACATGTTTATGTGTGTGGGCGCTAAAACTGCTTCACTCAGCTAAAGCCAAGGTTTCCTTCCAATGATATTAGGGCGGCTTCACCCACCACTCAATTTGTAGACTACCAACGTGTGCCTGTTGGAGCATAGAAGGGTCTGTGACAACCGAGAAGTCTGCTCTATGGTGAGCCGTACACTGCATTGGCCCACATCTGACTGCATTGCAGTGTGCTAGGAAATCCTGCATCTTTGCTGCTATTTCCTCAAAGGGCACAATTCATGAAGATGAATAGGAATGCATGTCAAACGCATCACACTGAAACTGCAACACGCTACAAAACTTAGAGGGAGGACAACAGACAGGGGCAGGGTATATACTGTACAGTAACGTGCAGCATACAGTATAGCAAACAGCAGATTATATAGTGTGGAGTATAAAATGTATAGCACAGTATATAAAACGGAGTGATGTCAAGTGTATGACATACAGCACAGTACACAGAATGGAGTGATGTGAAGTGTATAACATACAGCACAGTGTAAAGAATGGAGTGATGTGAGGTGTATAACATACAGCACAGTGTATAGAATGGAGTGATGTGTATAACATACAGCACAGTGTATAGAATGGAGTGATATGAAGTGTATAACATACAGCACAGTCTATAGAATGGAGTGATGTGAAGTGTATAACATACAGCACAGTGCATAGAATGGAGTGATGTGAAGTGTATAACATACAGCACAGTACACAGAATGGAGTGATGTGAAGTGTATAACATACAGCACAGTACACAGAATGGAGTGATGTGAGGTGTATAACATACAGCACAGTCTATAGAATGGAGTGATGTGAAGTGTATAACATACAGGACAGTGTATAGAATGGATGGATGTGAGGTGTATAACATACAGCACAGTACACAGAATGGAGTGATGTGAAGTGTATAACATACAGCACAGTGTATAGAATGGAGTGATGTGAAGTGTATAAAATACAGCACAATGCACATAGCAGAGCTGAGTAGGCTATAATTCTAGAAGTTTTCTTCTGGTGTTCTAGTTTTTTTGACTCCAGCAGTTCCCTTAAACAACTAATTATTATTGCCAGACCAGATCATGGAAATAGCAGAAAGCATGTATGTATCACTTTAAAGCCCTCCCTTTAAGTCTACCTGTAAAATGGGGCACATGGTATACTTCTGCAATGCGCTCCACGAACCTCTAAGCACCGGGTCATGTGTGCAATATTCAGCCAATATTCAGCACACGTTGTCTGACTGATTTTAATTTCTTCTACCAGCAGCTTCATACACAGTGTATAGAACGTGATGACTCGGGGACCTTGAACTGCTGCCGAGAAGGGAGAGAGCGGCTCCAGTGACCAGTCTAAGAACAATCCGGCTCCAAGGATCAGGTGAGTATAACTTTTTTTTGTTGCCCCTTAGACCAAAACCACCAGTTAACCCTTCCAGTGCAGGGGGGGTGCAAAATGTTTTCTCGGGCCCTCATTTTGCTGGACTCCCCCCTCCCCCCCCAGTGGTCTCTGAACTAAATGAGCTTACACTCTGCCCCCCCATGGTCACACACTATTATTATACATTCATATTTCTCTGATATATACCATAGTTCTGTACAAAGAATATTGAGCCAGGCACATCAGTCTCTGTAGAGAGGAGATTACACTCTGATGCAGAATGCCATCATCTATAGAGGAATACAAATCCCAGCAATACATTATACAGCAATGCAGAATAATAGTATATGAATTTGGCACATAGTCTATGTTGCTGGTCTGCTCCAGAGTGCTGGCCTGATGTCTCAGGCAGAGGGTCTCAGGAGGGTGCAGAGGGTCTCAGGAAGGGGAGATGTGCAGGCGGCAAAAGCACTGTTAGCAGGCGCCGCTTGGTTCCCCAGAAGGCTGCTGCGCAGGATCTAACGCAGTCAAATCAATTTGAAAAATTAAATTGCTGAGGTGCAGAGGTCAGCAATGTAATGCAGAGGTAATTGCCTGACAGTGGGACTGGAGATCAGTATATTGTAATCTATGAGCAATACAGTGCAGTACATGGAATGATCACTAGGTGGCACTCGTTCCCAGGATAATATAGCACTTTTTACTAATCAATCAGACACTTGTTCCCAGGATAATATAGAACTTTTCAGTTTGTTTCTCTACCGTCCCATGCTGCAGAGCCTTCTCTCCCTCTCCCAG